AGCAGTGGAGATCAAATTTAGAAAATCATTTAAAAACGGCTAGAGCATCAGCAACCTATATTAGCAAAACCACACAAAATGCGTTAATTAAATGCTGTGGGGAAGAAATATGTGAACAAATTTTGAGTCGCGTTAGAGAATCAAAGTATTATGCTATTATGATTGACGAAACAACCAATGCATCACATAAGTCGCAAATGACTATAATATTACGTTACTTGCTGCCTGATGGATCAGTTCGAGAAGATTTTGCAGGATTTGTTGATCTACATGACAACAATTACCAATCTGATATTACTGCATCAATTGACACTGAACCTATTCTTGACGGCAAAATTATTGGTCAATCGGTTATAAACATGTTTTCAAACAAGTTCCACCTTTCTCTAGAAAACTGTGTTGGTGTGGGAACAGATGGTTGCAGTGTTATGTCTTCGTTACAAAAAGGAGCAGTAGTTGAAATTCAAAAAGTTGCAGTGAATGCAGTCTGGTGTCCTTGTTATAACCATGCTTTAAATTTAACTTTATCAAAAAGTTCGAATGTACAAGCAATAAGAAATTGTTTGGGTGTTATTAGTGAAGTAGTTGCTTTTTTCAATGCTTCTGCAAAACGAAATTTTATAATAAAGAACATGATAAATTCACAACTGGTTTCACTCTGCGAAACACGATGGGTTGAGAGACATAATGCATTGCTGATGTTTAGTATTGAACTTCCACAAATAATTGATGCGCTAAAGAATATATCTAAATGGAATGACAGAACACCTTCATCAAAAGCAACAACTTTATTAACAGCAATTAGAGAAAGTGATTTTATTGTGTCCTTAGGCTGTGATGTGTATGTATTCTCTCTAACAAAGGGCCTCAGTGAATTGTTTCCAAAAAAAAGTTTAAATTTACATGATGCAGAAAATTGCATTAAAGACCTGTTAAATGTTTTACAAAAAAAGAGAGAAAACTGCGAAGAAATGTTTTTGGAAATTTTTAGAGCAGCAGAAAAAATAATAATTGAAAAAGATGGCACTTTTACCTACAAAAGATTTGTGCATCGACAGACATGCCCTGAAAATGTACCTTCTGATTCATTGGAAGAATATTACAGGCGATCAGTTTACATCCCTCTTCTTGATGCACTGATATTGGATATAAATACTCGTTTTTCTAAAGAAAATTTGCAATGTCTCCAAATCTATTCTTTGATGCCAGAAAATATTATTAAACTAAATCATAAAGATGTTGTCGAATCTGTTTCAGCAATCAATAATTTCTATGGTACCATTCTTGAACTTAGTACCCAACTTGAATTTATATCGGAAGTTGAATTGTGGCAGAGCAAATGCTTTAGAATGAACAAGGACGGAGGAGGAGTCAAATCAATGACTACTGATCTTTCTGTTGTTTTTCATTTGTGTGACCCCGTACAATATCCAATCACTCAGAAGTTGTTCCGTATTATTAAAGCATGTCCAGTTAGTGTTGCCAGTGCTGAACGTAGCTTCTCAACTCTGCGAAGAATTAAAACATGGCTAAGAACACGAATGACAGAAGACAGATTAGTCGGATTGGCACTACTTAATGTACACAGAGACGTTTTAGTAAATGTTGAAAATATAATTGAGCGTCTTGCGAAGTCAGGAAATCGTAAAATAGAATTCGTTTTATAAATTGTTATTAGTCAACCTATCAAGGTAGTAGGTACCTCGCTAGTCTAATAAAATAAATAAACCCATTTTTTAAAACACTTATAGGATTAAAAAAAAGAAAATAATTTTTTTATATTTATATATGTACTCATATGTATATATTGACTATGTTTGATCCAAATCATTACATTTATTATTTTATGGCATTAAAAGTTGAAAGTTTTTGATGACATTGCATGCTTTCTTATAAACAGCAATAAAGAGTTGACAAAAATAGACTAGAAATTTTTTTTTTCAGTAGGGGGGGCGATCGCCCCCATCGCTCCCCCTATGGATCCGCCACTGTATCTGATACATTGTAAGTGGTTCTGCGTATGTCAGAGCTGCAATAATAAAGACTAATAAAAAAATAAAAAAATTTTATCTCATTTACTTATTATTACCTATCTCATATAGTTATTATTATCATTTTATAGAAAAAAAACTTAATTTTCATAAATTATTTATTAATTATTCCTAAAAAAAAATTTTGTTTTAGGAATTGAAACTTTTATTTAATGAAACGGTGCGTGCGTATTGCTATTGCCCTTTCATCTGTAATTACAATCACGGTCATATATCCATGCATCTACAATCTACACACACGTGCCTTCCCTTTTGATGCATCTTAAACATATCGAAAAGAGAATCACAATATAAAAAATGTTACATGAATCGTTACTTTTTTTGGTGGTGTAGCATGTAGCATATGAGTCTGTTATTAAATGAATCAGTCGCCATAAAAAAAAAACAAACATCCGCTGCTAATGGCGCTTCCAGTAAAAAGGATGAATTCAATGAGGATTCTGTTTGAGATTTAATGCAGCTGCCAGCTATTTGTGTTTTTTGAATTTTAATGTTACAACTTACTTACAGGTCAAGTTCTAAAATACTCAGGCAAAAATATGAACACTTGCATTTTTTCAACTCAAATATTTGGACAGTTACAGTAAAGATTGTATTTTTAGGCTTTAGTTTTTGCTAATCATAGTCGGAATCAATTATTATCCTTCTATGTTTAAAATAGTTTTAAACTTTCAAAAATTTTATTTTTTGGCAGTAAGAAAGAAAAGCAATGGGGATTACTAATTAAGAAGCATGCATTTAATTCCGACTACAGGATGATTTCCCGAAAAAATATTTGCACATAGTAAAATTTCTTTAGATTTCAGGTTTTTTCTTTAGATTTCTGTTTTAATTCATGAATAGTGTGAAATTATCCGAGTTTTAGTTGTTATACGTAGCGTCATTTTAAGAAAATAAACAAAAACAATTACAACAACTATTTCAATAATAAACTAACTTGGTTTTAGTCAAAAAACTTTTTTTTAATATTAATTATTAAAATTATTTAAATAATTTAAATATATATATATATATAATGAAACGTTTTTTCAAGATAGGAATTATTGTAATATTGGTTAATATAAAGGGGATCGTTCAACAAGCAGGTCCATGTTTTGAGTGCAATCGAATCATCTGCACCTTTCAGAACTGCACGTTCGCCAGCATCAACTCCACCATCCCTCGCCTGAAACGTCGGCCCACCCTCACGGAGATCCGATTTCAAAACGTTACCGCTGGTTCACTACAGCCATCATTTTTCGACCGACTGAAAGTCGGTAAAGTTACGTTCAAAAATTCAACAATAAAAAACGAGCTGTCAAAACAGATGTTTGTGAATGTGATTAAGATGGACCAGTTTGACGTATCTCAGACACCATCTCTTTTAAAATCGCTGTGGAGTGACATTGATTTTGTTACTCCGCTGATCGATATCCTCAAAATAATAACAATATCTGAAGCGCCATCGCACCAATTCCTAACAAGCACCTTAAAAGTATGTTAATGATTTCATTTTAAACCTTTATTGCAATAGGAGCATTAATTTTTTGTTAAATTATTGACTGTGTGACTGTATTGTACATGTTTTTTAATTATATTTTAAACAGACTTTTACAAAATTGAGCGATATAAAAATTATGAAAAAACTTCATTCGTTGGAATTTTTAAATCAGCTGAAATTTTTAGAAAAATTACGTTTGGCACATATGAACTTTCCTGATATTCAAGCAATCTTCGAATTCACAAATCTGCACAAAACTGTAACCTTTTTAGAGTTTGAAAATATTACAAACCTGGAGTTCAACGAACAAATTTTTAAAAAATTCATTCGAATGGAAACTCTCATAGAAAAAATCTGCCCGAACGTAGTTATAAAGAGAGATTTTTCTAATATAATGAACGATTTAAATCCAAACGTTCAGATGAGTAAAAAGGAAAATCAACAATATATTGACAACATGAGAAGTTCAGAACAAAATTTTGATAGAAATCACGGCGAAGCCGAAACGGATCCGTTTAAAATTCCAAATGATTATGGCAACGACATTTACAATGAAGTATTAACTACAAGTGTTTATGATAAATTGATCGGCAAAACGCCAGTACTGCCAATGTGCAGCGACGGCTACGCACACATTTCCAACGACGACAACGTCTTGATTAAATGCTTCGTAAGCGGTGACCCTCCAGTCGAAGTCACGGTCAAACTGCCGAACGGGAACAAGTTATACTTCAATCGGAGCCACAGATCCTTGCGCTACACGGCCGAGCACCGGTCCTACAACCACAACCACGAACTGGAAGGTGTGTACGAATGCTATGCGGCCAACATGTACGGTGTCTCTGACGTTCTCGTATTCAACTCGCAGAGGAGGAATTTCGAAAGGTTCGGCGTGTCGTCGTCATCATTCGTGAAGTTGATATTCTGTTGGTGGAATTTTTTTATTGCTTTTGTGGTAGTGATTAAATTTATGAATATTGTGAATATTGGCTATTATTCTTTCAATTATTTTGAGATTTGTTCGTGAATTACTATTTTGAAAATGTTCTTTTTGAGATACGTTTAAATTTAATGTACTTACAATGTCTAATTTAACCACGCAATTATGAAATAAGATAAAAACAATTGAATTTCACATGAAAAAAAGATTATAAATGGTTTCAATAATAAAACCTTTGTTATTTTAAAAAATATAAAGTTAAAAATGCTTCAAAATTTAATAAGAAAATTATTATGAAAAGTTAAACTCAGAAAACTCAAATACTTTAAATATGTTTTAATAATTTAACTTTAGTAATTTATTGAATAAAGTGGTAATTAAAAATACGTATAAATTAATATAAATTGATGAACATATTTTTTTTAATCCATTTTATTCACAAAAAAGTGAAAGAGTCAGCCTAGCAATAAATGCTTATCTAGGGTTGAATCCCATAAAACAATAAATAACAAAATATAGACATATATTGTTAAAATAAATTTGTCTCTTAAATATAATTATTATTTATTAAAATAAATTTGTCTCCTAAATATAAATATAAATATATATATATATATATATATATATATATATATATATATATATATATATAAGTTCGCTACTTGGAGTCCTCTGATAATTTCTGCATGGGACATTTGGAAGAATACACCATCAAGAACAAACCACAACTTAAACCATAAATATAACGCCGATATGTCGATGACATATTTGTGGCATACAACAACCCAGGCACCATAGAAGAATTAATAAGCACTTTTAATAAATCTAAATTAAATTTTACTATGAAAAAACTAAACTGTAGTTGTTTATACAGGCCTTCGGAAACGTCAAAAGTCATTGTTTATCCAAGCGTCCTTGAAGCTATGCACAGGACGCGAAATAAATTAATAATAAATAAATATATATATATATATATATATATATATATTATTATTATTATTATTATTAATGATACATTTATAAGCGCTAATTAAAATCAAAAAGTTCTCAAAAGCGCTATCTATAATCAAACAAAGTCAAAAAAGAAAAAAAGTACAGTCACTGGCGGTAGTAACAAACAAATAATTATTCACTTAATATAATTATTAACTATATATATATATATATACATATAAACATATACATATACATATATATATACATATATATATATATATATATATATATATATATATATATATACATTAGTTGTGCTACATCAGTGCTATACTATACAAACATCGTCATACTGTTGACTCTGACGTTAGCCTAGCCCCCAGTGGCCAGTGCATTCTCGACTTTTCGCTAAATTTAGGTAGCCTGCTTTATAAAACAAGAAAGTAACAAAACTACATAAAAATAATGAAAAATGACGCAAGATCTGTGTTTGCCAACAACCATAAAAATAAATAAACATCAACATCATTTATAGATGAATATTTAGCTTATAAAACAAAATATAATGTTCTTTAAAAATGAAATTATGGAAACAAAATTTAAGGATCGTGAAATATTCTTTTATTTTTCTTTACTTCATGTCAGTAAAAGTTTCTAGAACAAATTAAAATTTGGTTTTCAAGTTGGTTTACCATGGTGAAAATGCTATGACCGATTTTTTTAATCATCCAATAAAGCCATATCGCTATCGAAACGCTTTTCATAACACTAGTGATTTTTGAACCTTATTTTAAATAAATAGGCAATACATCTAAAACTGACAGACACATTCTTAAACACTAAACAGATTCCGAATATCTGATTCAGACATCCCAAACAGTAAGTTTCCTGTAGTGAGAGGACAAAGATGGAACAAATTATACCCTGGTTAGTGTCATTATTAATTTATATTAAGATTTCCAAAAATCTTAAACATCTTTTATCATCTTACTCGAATAGTATTGTTTTATACTTATCCTATTAGACAATAGTATAGCCTATATCCTAACATTTACCTTATGCATGTATCTTTTATTTTGACCTAATATTTGGAACACTAGATTTCATATCCAAAGAATTTTGTCTTGTTTTTCACAAAAAATTTATAAATTTATTAAATTAACGTGGTTTTATATTTTGAGTTGTGTAACTTCATGTTGAGGTTGTATACAATTAATTTTCAACCAACTCAAGCGCCACTTTATCAATTATATCATTTTTGATTGAATTGAAACTAGTTGAAATATAGTAGTTAAGTTCTGTAATTGCTAACCAGAATATTTTTTTAATACATTTGCTTCAAGATATATGGTTATGTTGTTTTACATATTTTTATATTTTTCTCAAAGCTTATTTCTCAAATCTCAAACAAAACATTAATTATAGTTTCTATATAATTTTTAGTTCTTTGATGATCTTTCGAATTAATTCACTTCATCAATTTACAAGCTGCGCTGTTTTAGTTAGAGGGCTTCTGGTTTGTAAATAAAGCTTAATTTATTTTAGGCATGGTCAGTTGCAGTGCAGTTAAAGTTACAGTTCACTAAATGATTTGATTTTTGGATTTTTGTTGAGCAAAGTTTTCAGTTACATTAACTAGGCACGATACTGGGTGCCGCATTACACAAAATTTTTCTTTATTTTCATAACTATACGTAGGTTGCTTCATCCAGTACGAAGAAAAACATCACGACGAAATCATCAAATACAAAACGAAAATATACGCCAGCAATTATAACGTTTGTTTTTACGAGTTATTTATGCCAGCAAATTTTATTTTATTTTCTATTTAATTTAAATATCTTATAATGAATTTTACCAATTTTCTAATAAATAATTTTCGAATAATTTTCAGCCAAATAACAAAATGAAAAACAATTAATTTTTCAATTTTTTGATTATAAAGTTAAAATAAAAGTTTGTTTTCTAAATAAACAAATCTCTGTTTCAAAAGTTCTCCGAATAATTCACATTGATTCTTCAATCAATGTAAATTAAACAATTAAACAAACACACGCGCGTACGTTTTTTCTTCTAAGTTAAAGATATCCAACGCTTCTTATCTTGAAAGTAACACATGGTCATTTTACTATTAATCTGTAAAAAATGGTTTTGCTAAAGGAGAATGATCCGTAAACTGGATTCCATTAAGTTGGTGGGAGAATAGAGGCACCTAGTCAGGAGACGCTGTGCCCTGGTTCGATTACAGGAAGATCCAGCCTATCACATACTTGCAATGTGTGAACGTGTGTCTCTGATATCTCTAGAGCAGACAGAACGACTTTCAACGTTTCCAAATGGTAGAGAACCCATTTTTAATCTGATGCACTCACTGCCTTGCCTTTTCTGTAACAAAGTTTCAAACTTAAAGACACAAGTTTCTTTCGGCAGATTTCGTAGCAAAACTATAAAAAAATCGCTTGGTAAAAAATTTGTCATTGAAAAATTTATTAAGTCAAATAAAAAAAAGTACCAATTGAAATAGATATGTTTGAACATTTATAATGTACTAATGAACGAGTTACAGAGAAAATGTTTTTGTTAATTTTATTAAAGGTAAAATTGTACCAGACAATTGAAGGAGGCAGAAAGGTGAGAATGATCATAAACCCTAACCAGCACATAATAAGTTCGGCACTCCTAATTGCATCGTTCAACCCGAAAGATGGCGAGATCATACAATGGAGTTGTGGTTGACAATTCTCTTTTTATTGATTCTCAACATTTCATAGTTTCTGTTCTAATATTTGTAAACACACACACATACACAACAAACACGCACACGCATGAAAAATTTGAAAAATTTATAATGCTAAAATACATGGTAAAAATGGTACTAAGAAAAAATTGGTCCATATAACAAAATTCTTGCTAACCTGGTGGTTTATTGATTTATTATATAGATATAGGAAGCGTAGGCACAATAAAATTGTTGGTAGGTTTAAGATAAAATTAAACAAAATCTTTGTATGAGATTTGGAAAATTTGGACTGAAAATTTTTCATCTCCCCACAAAACAAAAATGAGTTAAACTTTGTTCAAAACCACTTTTAATGGCTTAACTTGTTAGAAATTGTGTGACAAGCAAAATTAGTTTGCCAACTTTTTTTAACAAACTTAAGCCCCAACCTTAACAACTCGAAGGCAAGGCCAGTGCAGATATATTCATTTCTTGCTGGAAATAATATTAAAATGGTTTTTAAAGTTATTTCAAGTTTAATCATTTTTGAAATAGTGTAAATGAAAATGTTAACAAATGATGAGGATGAATATACGATTTGACAGCCCATTCGAAGTATGAACTGAGGAACGAGATCCTGACTGGTCCTGCAAGTGAATAATTTAGTATATTATCAAATTTATATTATTAAATATATTTCTTCTGTCTTTGTGTCATGGTCATTGTCTTGGGCTTTCTTTGTGTTTTACTTTGATCATTAATTAATGTCGTGTCAATCAGAATATCATTACAATAATAATTGTTTTGAATCTATTAAAATAACTTTTACAGCAATTCAAATTTTCTTGAATTCGTTTTTCAATTCTATTTTAACACTTAAATTTTATAATGACGGAGGAACTTTGAAAAAGTGTTCAAGTCCTTAAATATTTTTAACCATTAAAAAATAAATTCCAGTTTTTCATTTCTTCAGGTTTAACTACTAGTACATGGTTCGCAAAGAAGACGATTATTATTTTTGAATTTGAACTGAAGTCCATGTCTGTTGATTTGCAGTTGGAGGTTGACACGACCTCTTCCAAGCGAATCTGCGTCATCGCTAGGTCAGTCATGCCTCTGCAGATCTTATTCTTCTTGCACGAGTCTGTAATAATGGTTGACGCAATGAAAATCAGTAAGCTCGTACAATTTCAAAATATCTGATTTGAAATGTTATTTTAAATTTAAAAGTGATTTGTCGTTCTATTAAAATTTAAATGTTGTCATCTCTCATGAAGAATAATATGTTAGATTAAGGATTACAAACCTTCCAATCTTATCAAAACAAATTTCAAAGTTCGAGGTGTGAGTCTACGTTCTTGGTAAATCTGAAACCGCTGGTAAATATAAAGTTTATTAAAAACTGAAATTACATGATTCTCGGGGTCTCGTGGCCAACTGGTTAGCGTGTCCGTCTACTACTTTCACAACTTGGGTTCGAATCCTGCAGTTATTGTAGGTTCATCTGGTTAGCCAACCCCCAGCCAACCCAGCCGTTCATTCTTCTGATGTCGGTAAATGGGGAGACGACGTAAGTTGTCGCATGTTGGCCGGCGAGATGGCTCAGTGGTTCAAATGCGCGCTGAGTCAAACACTTCAATGGTTATCATATACTCATGGCTATCACCGCATATGATGCGGTTGACAGCAACCTACTTTCCACAACCTTTGCCAAGAAAAACCATCGCCAATTTCCTAAAATGGATAAGGCACAAAAAACATGATTCTAATATTTCTAGCCTCATTGACCGCCAATTCAATCACTGCAGTCTTTTCTGTCTGGTCTCACATTCAACTCTCTCTTCTCATACAAACAGTGTATATTATAACTCAGCTAGTATTTATAAATTCTGTTTATAAAATGTATTCAGCCAAAATAATTATCTAATTTTTATAATTTGTGGATCAGTGTGAATTGACAATTCTTTAAAAACTGTTGAATGTAAATATTAATAATTTAAAGACACGTTGTACAATTATCAAGTGCAAATAAATGGAATGCTACTCAATAAATTTGATGTTGTGTTCGTGAAAAAAGATAACATTCCGGAACGCAAGGATAGTGTCCAAGTGTTCCCAAACAAAAGTGTCATTTTTAGGACATATGGTTTGTCTTTGAACATTAACATTATCAAAATTTGAGAATTATTGTCATAATTATTATTTGGCGTTTCAATGATTTTCTATGATATTTGTTTGTGGCAAGATAACTCATAAAATGGAGAAATGTTGTTCTTCATGTTCCTGCAACATTAAGCTGCTTGTTCAACGAATTGATTTAAACGCTAAAATAATACAAAATAAGAACTATTATATAAATAAATATTAATATTTAATTTTGTGAAAATTTTTAATCGCCATAAGTATGTCATAAACAAAACCGTTTTCAGTAAAAACTAAAGCTCTTTACATTGAATAAAACTGAAAGGAAGAAAAGCTGAAAATGTAAAATTATTATATTGGCAAAAAACATTAACAACTAGGTTGGAAAAAACAAGAGTTGTAATAAAAATAAAAAACGCAAATAATCCTGTTAAATTTTCATTGAATGAAAATAATTTCTTGCTAACATCATGTTCATACGAACACCAAACTGCACTAGTGTTTACATCTACCATTCATTTCATCTCTCAGCCCAGTTAAACAAATAACAATTTAAATAAAACTACAAGTGATACCAACGATTACATTCGGATTATTTTCTGCCAGAAGACAAGCTCTGCTACTACCAGTGCACAAAGGAGATGCTGTGCAGCCACATTTACTACAAGCACATCATCCAAGTTGTGCCGATAGAGATACAAGTTCACCCGCAGCCATTCCCCATCGTTTTGTCGAAGCGCGACGACGAAAAATTTTGCATCAAACTCTTCAACCAGCTGACGTCACAGAATCACTCGCTGACCTTGTCCATCAAATATGCTTTCTACCAGGCCTCCGACTCAAAAAACAAGTTCAATTAATGATTTCACTGTTTTTTTTTGTTGTGAACATTTGTGAACCTTACGTTGTGCTGTCTGGTGTAGTAATATTATTTTCGAATATCAAGCACTTTTAATAACTCTCTTCTTCTTTATTGAAATGACCGTATCATTTGAAGTTGTTTGATTGGTTGAAAAAGTTTTGTAATTTTTCAACGGTGTTTATGTTAACATATATTATTTGGTTGGAAAATAATAATGTGAAAATAAATAATTGATGGCTTTCGGGAAGTCATGGCTTTCGGGAATGGAACGAGTTTTATCTCGATTAAACATCCGTTAAATTGAAATTGATTTCAAGCATTTAATAGACAATATATGCTTTACTATTTTTTCAAATTATTTCCAACCCCACAACAGAACGTACGAGAAGGAAACAGCAAACCCAGAAACGACGGAATACAGAGAGGTGGAGTATGAAGTTGCCAACAAGGTCTTCTGCTTCAACGTGCCTCAGTTGGGGCACAAGGGTCGCCTCTTCTACATCCTCTCGCTCTGGATGGCCAACAGCAAGTACACCTCGCTCTATGATGTTACTTACGTGAGTGTCAATTAATTAAATGAATTTGAAGTTATGAGTCGAAAACAAACAAATCAACGGGTGAATGTTACTGTTACTCTGCAAAGTTATAGTGCGGCTCTATAGACTAAAATGTGTTTCTGGGAACTATCTAAGAAGCACCTCGTTTCGCAATATTGTCTACTGAGATAGTAATTGCGCTAAGTTGGTGTTTTAACTCGGGCTACTGATGAGTCCCATAAGGAATGAAACGCGTCTAGCCTAGAACGAGTTAGGTGTTCACAGTAATGCAGTTTTAGTCTGGGTGAGAGATGAGGTGCTGGCCATCCTTATTTACGAAAGCAGGTCGTAAAAAATGAATTTATTAGTGGGAAAGGTTCCAATTGCTCGTTGTTGAATATTTATTATATTGCGCTAATATATGTTAAATATATATTTATTTATATATATATATATATTTGTTGAATGAAAAAAAAGTGATTTGATTGATTGATTGATATATTAGATTAAAATTATATTTATAAAATTTGTATGTATCTCTAAATTGTGTTAATTTTTAAAAAATAAAGTTAAAATTACACAAATTAAGTTATTAATGAGTGAATAAACAGAACCCGGTGAGCAATTGAAAATATTTGCAGGACAACTTCACGAAAGCGCGGGAGGGACAATTCATAACTGATCCAGAGTTGGTCGTTAAGTTTGATGAAAAAGGTAAGTTGCGCCACTCCATTCATCGTTTACAAAATCATTTTAGAATAATATAATCGCTGAACAAATGACGTTATTTCTAACAAATTGTCAACCACTCAGCAACTTAAACTTTTTTGGACGATCCATAATAACGAATAACACTTTTATTAGCCAATGTCAAAATAATAATTAAACATAAAAATTTGGTTGACTAGAATTGACGATTGACATTTTTACAAAGATATCGTGACGATATTTTTTTGGTTTGTTTGTGCTGCCAGGTGGTGCTTCGGTCAAGACGTTTGCCTGGTCCTCCTGCCTGCTGTTGTACTGACCAGGTTTGAATGCAATAAGATCCTCGCTTCTATCACATGCAATATGTGTAATGTGCAACAACAACACGTATTCATGCGTGTTGTTGTTCATACATCTGAGAAATAACTTGAGGAGAATTGAAAGAATCAACCAAATCTACTCTGAAATTATCTAATTACCCCTTATCACTGTTATGATTTTGTTCCAAATCACTTCAAGTAATTTTCAATTACAAAATAGAACATGCAAAAATAACAGTATACTGAATCAATTTGAAATGATTGTCGTTAAGGAACGTTCCTTGACATGAACAATACGGAAAAGAACGAAATGAAAACAGTAGTGCAGACGACAGTGGCAGATTTCGAGGACGTCAGTATTGCTGCTAAAGTTCAATTCTTCAACGTCGTCCTTATTTTTAATGCAATTAATTTTTATTTGCTAAATGTTAATCAGTATTAATCAACTCAACTTCTACGAAATCTCTTATTTCAACTATAGATGTTTACCATTATTTAATGAAAATTGTATTACTAATTTATAAATATATTTATTCACAAACATAAAATTTGTAAATTTATTTTTATTATCGACAAATTATTATGTTTTAATCAATAAGCCTTTTGAAGCGTACGAACGATGATTCTGAAATAAAAATTGTAAAATTTCCTGCAAATGAGTTAGATGAAAGCTTGAAAACTCAACCGGTTTTGGATGCAATTACAAAAAATAAAACTATACATGATTCTTCTGAGATAATATGACGCTTCCTTGATAGCCCAGCTAGCCCGATATAAAAACGAATGTGCAAGCAGTTTGCTTGTAAATCTGTTGAGACTAACTTGATGATGAATCCGGTGTTCAACCAGAAGGATCCACCCAAGTAATTTTATTAGGATGCCTGCTACACTCAGTATTGAAATCTTCTGAACCTCAGTCGGCGCTGGTTTTTCAAGCAATTTTTTCATAAAGTTTTCCAGATTTTTACCTAACGCTTCTAAGGCTTCTACAACCACTGAAATGATTATAGTTTTAGTGTAGTTTGTGGTTTCTTATTTAAATTTTGCTGTTGTTTATGGATGTTGTGTGTCAGAATTGTGAATCTTTGTAGCATGTGCAAAATGATTTCTTATATTTATTTTAAATTTTTTATTTTTTCAAATGCCAAACGAACCTTAAACAAACCAACATCACCAGCCATCACAACATCAACAACACTCAAACTATTCCATTATCCACCACTCTGTTTGCAAATTTCAATTTTCCTTGATTCGTTTTGAAATTATGAGAAGACAGCTTAAATGGAGGCCGCATGTTCGTTCGTCGTTAGGCCTCTTCAGTAGCGGAAAGCAGGCAGAATGATCCCAATCACTTGTTAAGTTGTAAACTAAAATGGGGTCACCCCTGAGACGTCTGTCTGTCTCTAAGTGTAGGTAGAGTGAGAAATCTTAATCGCTGTTTGTAGTTCATTCCACAGCAATCCATAGTTGTGAAGTTCGAAAGAAAAATTTAAAAGTTCGTAAAAGTTCGATAAAGTTCAAAGATAAATAAAGTTCAAAAAAGTTCATAAAAGTTCGAAATGCGACTGCCTCAGCTCAACATTAAATTATTTTATTTTCTAAATCAATCCGTCACACACAGAGAATATTACAACATGGAAGACAAAATGAAATGGTGAACTACAAAATTGAACTACAAAACATGTAAAAAAGCTGAAATTTTGAGGGAGATGACTTGGTTGTACCATGTAATGACAGAGAAGATGAAAAACATTTTGTCGTTCAAGTGAATTGTAAAGGAGAAAAACAAATAAAGTTAAAAAAAGAATACAAATCATATTTAAAAGCAAATGACTAAACAAAAATATTACAAAGGACCGCAAAAAATTATTTTATATAATATTTTATGGTACTAAGGCAACAATGTTTAGAAAATATAAATTAAATCAAATGATGTTCCAGAAATAATTGAGACACAGTTACCATCTTAACAAAAAATTATAATAATAACAACTTAATAAAAAATTTGAGTTTTTTTTCTTGAAACTTTTTTATATAAAAACAAATACACATGTACATATATACATAAACATCTATCAAGTATTTTCTTGAAGATTTTTCATAGCACTTAGAAAACATTATAGACTTACAGTTATTAATATGTCAGTAATCAGTCCACATTGTCATCACTGTCAGCATCAGATGACCAATCGATATACTCGTCAATATAGTTAATATCTTCAATTTTTGTTACTAGCTGTAAGTTGCAATGTACATTAACAATCTTCTCAACCGTCTTGCATGCAAGTCTGTTGCGTTTTTTTGTGTGAATAAAGTCAAATGTTGACCAGTTACGTTCACAAGACCCAGCTGATGTGACCTGTGACAATACTCTGACAGCAATTTTTTGTAATTCAGGTGTTTGTGCACCGAATGACATCCACCACTTGTGGCCAGGCATCGTCTTTGCTGCAGCGATAGCCATAGGTCGGCCAAATACACCTTGACGAGCTCTATAAACCGAATGTTGTTGTACCACTTTTACCTGTCAAGTGTACAATCAATTTAATAATAGTTAAGTATTACAGTAATACTAAAGGTGTATGACTTAAAAATAAAGACCCGCTTAAATTACAAAAATTTATCTGTGAAACTTAACACTAGGTTAATAATAGTAGTTTCTAGATGCACATAAACATTAACTCACCTGTGATTGCACATCATCTCTGTACATCTTTTCAACAATGTTGTGAAATCCTGTCATAACTTCTTCATTTTCATGTTGTTGATATGCTTGATATTCAGGATCTAAAACAAACCCAGCTGAATGGAGATCTGTGTGGAGCATTTTCCATCTGTTACTGATAAGTTGACGAATGTTTTGTTTTTTTATCGTTGAAAGTGTACTGTTCTGTATTTCTAGATCAGCTGAAAAAATTTTCCAGTACAATTTTCCTGTAGATGGAACAGCACCGTCACACATTCGTAAAACAGCTACAAATGGTGCACAAATACCAACAACTTGCTGAACATCATCCCAAAACTTTTGTCGTAATACAATATTAGCTATCTTTTCTCCTTGGACTTTATATGTTTTTTTTAATAGCCATTGTTTGTAATCACGAGATACAACAGTTTCTGTAAATGCGTCTTTGCACTCATACAGT